TTCCCTACAGACAAGTATAAATACGTAGATCATCTACTGACAGTAGGAGAGTTCGACAGCTATAAAACTTACTTGATGGAGGGAAATGCACCTGGTGCTCAGTCAACAGGTGCACTCCTGTTATTAACAGAGGGCTGTAAGACTTCTGTCTCATCATCACTTCACCTCTCTTGTCTTGACAAAATGAGATTCTTAATTGTCTCCCCAGAAAACGCTTAGGCTTTGAATTCATAATATATGTTGAGGTGTCCCAGATGTCAGTCCCGATTTTATTGGTTTAAAAATGTTTTTAAATAGAAAAAACTACAAATCTGAATACTGTTCTTTATTAAAGCCTTACCAGATGTGAGCTATTGAAATCCATAGATCTGGCATTAATTTCCTGGGATGATACTACGTTAGACCCATTAGATATGCATACATTCTTTTATGAACATCAGTTCTGCTTATTATTTTCTTTATTTTCCCTTACGGAGACTATGCCATGGCATTTCACTTCCTTTCTAATGTCCCATTAAAAAGTCACAACCTGTTTTGATATCACAAGAATAATTTTTGGTCGTGTGCTTCCATATTATTCAAAGTGAAACAAAGAATAAAATATCTGTTGTTCAGTAATTCTTTTTCTTTTTCCAGCAAAGGAAGTAAAAAAAGCTCCCATGTTTTTGGAGAAGCTTCAGAACTGTGGTGTTCCTGAAGGGTACCCCGTCAGATTAGAGTGCAGAGTTGTGGGAATGCCACCCCCCATATTTTACTGGAAGAAGGATAATGAGACCATCCCATCAAACAGAGAGAGGATGAGGTACTGTACCATCGTACCCATGCTTGGAGTTTCTTGTGGCTGGACCAATCATTTCCATGAAAACCTGTGTGATAAGTACAGGTGGTGTTCTTAAAACAATTTCTTTCACCCACATAAAATTTTAAAAAGTTGGCTTCACAGTGCGGTGAACAACAGCTATTTTCTTGGCTCAGAATAAAGTCATGGAGCATAATACGCCACTGCTTCAGAGAGTGGTGACAGACCTTTCAGCACATAGAAGCCATCTTCCATCAAAGATACTACGATACGGTATTTTAATGCATTTTAGCACCTTCTTCTCTCTCTATTTTTTCCTCAGTTTAGTTCTAACTATGGATGAATTCAAACTCAGAACAGAACAAGATTTTGAATGCTCCAGAGCATGGGGATAACAGACAGTTCAGCATATCAGATACAGAGGCTGATAACAAGTTTGGTCACAAACACAGGCAAAGACTTTGATCTATGCTTACAAAACACAACAATGTTTGGGTTCAGGTCTTGCATTCAAATGCATCGCTATTTTTTAGGTTCTGCAAAAGAAAAGCGGATGAAATAATGTGCCTGGCTGTAATTAATGAGAAATTAATTGCTTTCACTTATTTTTAATTTTTTTTCATACTTCAGCATAAATCTGGTTTTTAATATTTTATTTTACTTGGCTCCAACTAATGATTTGATGCAGTCATTGGATCTCTGAGATCAACTTCAAGAAGTACTACCTTTACACATGCATACCCTGCAGGCTATCTGTAAAGAAAACTGGCTCCACAACAGCACTTGTTCTGAATGTACACCTATCATCAGTGAAAACTTACTTGAAAAAAATCTTTCAGTGGTTTCCCTGTCCCCACTCAGAGACTGCTGTCCCTCTCTGAAAAGCCCACTTGACTCTCATCTTCTATAGTCTGTAGCCTTTACCTCTCTGCCTCTAGGCAGATTACTCAAGGATTTATTTCAAGTACTGATCCTTTCACAGGAATTATGGTTATACATAGGCAAACACTGTAGTTAACGTAAAGTGAACAACTGTCCTAAAATGCCTCATTTCCAGTTGTTTCACAGAAGCTTAGAAAAAAAGTTTTCGCTTCAGCTCAGCAGAGGAATGACTAAGGGAAACCTCTCACAGCTCACAATGCCAGGAGCTAACATCAGGCTTGTAACACCTCTGCTGTTTCAGCCAGTCATAACCAGAATGCCAGCACCCAAGGCTTCAAGTGGCTCCACACAGATCCACATGAGCGATGGGCAGCATTGTCCTTGTTTGTCCCTTGCTTGCCTCACTACTATTTTCTTGCCTGAAGCCAAGAGACCTTTTTTGTGTCATGATACAGACATGCAGGAGCTTCTATACTACCACACCCCCAGCATAAAGCAAATTACATAGTGCAGGGAGCAAAGGGTGTGAATGTTCCCTGTTTTATGACAGCTGTCGGAAGCCCAGAATGTCCTCTTGACCTTAAAATTCTGTGGTTTGATGTTTCATTTCAGTCCATAAGGAAACAAAATCTCAAATTTCGGAACTTCCTGCAACTTCAAATATTCTCATGTGCTCATCTCCCACCTCTCCCTTTATAATGAGGGAAACACTTGGGTTGATAAAAAGGATCAACCACAGCCTAGAGAGCAGAGGAGCCTCAGTTCTCTGATATACTACTGAATAGTTTTTCCTGGAAATTGTAGCCAGAAAGTCTTGGATCACTGAAGAGCAAAGGAAGAGGAGGGAATAATGAAGCAGTTTTCTTTTAGAGTGTTGGCCAAACGAATCTTTAAGATTTTGCTACTCAGTCATTTTCTCACAGAAAAAGGTGCCATAAGAAAGCTTCTGACTTGCTCTGGTTCCTGTTGTGAAAAATAGAACAACTTTGTACAAATGTTCTTGGTATTTTGTTATGTTATTCTTCCAGCTTCTGAACTAGGAAAAAATACAGTATGACCATGCAGCATGGGTTTAGTTCATTGGAAATCAATAAAGAATCCCAATATTAACACATACAGAGCAACAATTCAGCTCACACTGTCACACCATTTTTGCACAACTCAGAGGAGCAAGAATAGATTTCAGCTACTCTGATCATTGGTTGAGGCCATAGGGAAAGTAAATCTATTGACTCTAAATGTTTTGGGCTGCTACCTCTTTGAGAATAGAAGTTACGATGTATCTATTTCACATTTAATGTACATATTATAAAATCTCAAAGTTGATATGCTCTTGAGAAATACTAATTCCAAACCACTTGTTTTCCCAGCATGCATCAAGATACAACAGGGTACGTCTGCCTCCTCATTCAACCTGCCAAGAAAGCAGATGCTGGCTGGTACACCTTGTCTGCAAAAAATGAAGCCGGTATTGTCTCTTGTACTGCTAGACTTGACATATATGGTACGTATTGGCTAGTAAATAAAACAAATGCCAATTTATTTTCTTTGACTTGTCCCAGCCCTCACCTAGTTCTTAGTCCGTAAATTGCTAGTTTTGATGTGGATTAGAAATCAGTGTCACAGCATGGCCACAGCTTAATATGGCCACCAGGAGGAGGTAGAATGATACAGCTAAATAGCCAAATTAGCTCCCCTGCATTAGTTTAAAGGCAGGTAAAGAGAAAAAACAGAGGAGGAGTTTTACACAGTATTCTGTACTCCCATTTTCCACCTTCCAAATTCCCTAGACACATAAGCATATAATAAACATGTAAGTTGAACCTTAACTCTGCTCCCTCTGACACATGCCTGTGCTACAGCCCTGATCTGAGATAGAACAATAAACTGCACACGAGAAAGCAGACCCCTTCTTCTGTGGAGGATGTACGATGCAAACTATGCCTAATTGTCTAGGACTTGGAAGGCTCCAGCCCAGTTCAAAATTACGGCACATGATTTAATTACTCTGTATCTACGCAAGATGTAATAGTTAAGACAATTTATCTGAAGCAAGACAGTACTTTGATCATTTAAGCAGTGTAATAAAACAGAAAACATATTCCACAAACTACTGGATTATAGCCATACCCTCAAAGGAAAAAAGCCTACGTTTTCAACCTTGTATCTCTCATTTAGAAAACCTCAACAGTTAATTATCAGGGATAACCACAAGTCACCAGTGCATCTCCGTCAATTTTCCGCCACCTTGTGGTGATACAGACAATAGTAATGTAATGTTCAAGAGATGGCTGGTGAGAGTCTGATTCAAAAAAGGCCACAGAAAATGAAAAATAATTCCTTAGGTATCCAAATGTTGCAAGACATAAATTAAATTTTCATATGAAGGACTCAAGGTACAAACAGGAAAAAGATGGAAAGTAAGAAATGTTTCCTGATTCAAATCATATTTTCTAAAGACTCTGCACTCTTACACACCAAAGCAAGTGACAGAAATAATTTTTCTTTGTGCTATTTTGAATGGATGGGGTTGAGGGATTGAAAGCGTGGTCTGATATTTAAAATTCCATGTGCAAAGAAGAAAGTACAGTAAATAATGAGTGTATTGTTCAAATAGAAACAAATTGGGGGCTGCAAGGAAAAAGGAGGCTCTTTTTCGAATACTTCCAGATAGGCAGGGTGAAAATTCAGCATATAAAGCTAATGAACGTTTCCTATCAATGCTTAACATGTCGATTGTAGGCCTCCCACATCAAGCTATTCTGAGAGTATTGTAGCCTGAACTTCTACCCTTTCATTTTAATTAGTGACAGATATGTTTGTCCAGTATGGGTGCAAAGCTGGAGGTTTTGAATACTGGCAAAGATAATATCAATTTCCCCTTTCTTTAGTGTTTTAAGAATGATAACTGTTAAATATTATATAACAACTAAATATTCTTACAAAATTGTAATGGTATTTGTTCATATGGGAACATGTCGAATGTTACTTTTAAATGACTAAATATATGGGTTTCAATTACCTTTCACTATCTTTAAAAAAAAATGAGGAAACATGCTACTAGTTGTAAGTAGTAGAGGGAAATAAAACTTGTAATCACTTCTTTAAAAAAATTCCCTGTATTATAACTTTGAAATTAAATACCACCAAAAAAATTATCAGGAAGAAAAGTCCCCCAGAGGACGGAGCAGTACAAAATCAGAGCCATGTCCATTTGTTCATCTCTGTTCATGTGATGGTATGTTTTTAGTTTTGATTGCAAGAGCTTCGGAGAAGGGTCCAAAGATTAAATGATTAAATTTTGGACTTAGTGAAATCCATGTAAACGTTGCCATTGAATTCAACAGGGATGAAATTCCATCTGTAGACTTCAGTAAAAATGCTCAACATATAAACTATGTAAATGATAATATTTGAAGGCACAGACCCTAAAGCAGGGAACAGTAATGCTGTGGTCTCTCCAAGGACGTTGGAAGCAACTTTTTCAGCTGTGTGCATTGATTTATGTTGTTTCATTGCTAACTTAATTAGAGGTTTTTACAGCCTACTCCGTTTCTGTTGCTTCAGCTCAGTGGCACCATCAAATTCCGCAACCAATAAAGCTTCGACCTGGTAGCAGCCGGTATGCAAACCTTACCGGTCAAGGACTTGACATTTTTTCTGCCTTCCCAACTACTGAAAGCCTGATGCTGTTTTCATCCCCAACCCAAAAGGTAGTGGAGAGTGAAGAACTTTGAAAAACAAACAATTGTTCCAGTTACACCTGCAGAGATACTAGAACTGTGGAAAAAAAAAAAAAAAAGAAAAAAAAGAGGTACAAGTCAAGATGCTCAAGGTTTACAAGCAACTTGTTTGTAATTAAGTATACTGCTGCTGCAAATGTTGCAAGTAACATATCGTACAAGACTTTTGCATATTATTTTACTGCAGGATAATTGTGGTATGGAGTGTTGTGCAATAAATTCAGTACTGTGTAGTTTGCTAAGAATTACATAGTAAACATAGTTTTCAGCACTTAAAAGCCAATACCACTATTACTGCTTGAATTAAAGCTACTGTACTGTAGCAAGCCATGTTAAGGATTGATGATGTTTAGCTGGAATACTGCCAGTGAAAACATTGACATTACAATAACAATAATCCTGAATGAGAGTAAACAACATGACTTTGAATGTAATTCTAAAAAAAAAACATGCCAGATGATAATCACAAAGCACAAGTTAAGGGCGAAAGATGTAACTCATTTTTATATATTATTATGCCAGATAATCTCAGAATTTTTCAACTCAAAACTAGATAAATATAGCGTTTCATGTAGGTACAGCTGTATACCCTATATATTTATATTTTTGTGTGTGTGTGTGTACTCCATGAACTGTGTACTCATGGTGTAAGGACTCTTAAAGTAAGGTACAGGGCATGTGCATAGGACGCTAACATAGGAAACCAAAATTCCTGTTGTCTGAAGCATGTTCTAGAGCCCATAGCTGGAACTATTTTCCAGATGTGCTTCATATTTTCCTCTTTACAATGATAGTGATTCTCTGTCTTTAATCACAGATGATGTCAAGCATGTAACTTCACCGTTTTTAAATATCAGTCTCCTTTTCCTAATTTTTAACGTGACTAAAAGAAAAGTGCATCTACCATCTTGCTCATTTTTTAACTAGCTGAAAAGGAATTATGATCTGGTGGAATTTAAATTTTCACCATCATTTAGGATATAATCACAAGTATGGTGTCTACTACAAAGACAGAGAAAATTCTGTTAATACACAAAAGTTATGAAGTTAAGCAACAGTTAGGTGCAAAGAGCTAAAAACCCTACTGTAACTAATAGTAGTAATAAATAAGACAAATTAATGAAAGTGCAACAGAAGGTGTTAAGTGACAACACTTAATGATTGATTTAAATATATTCAGCATCTATACAGTTGTGTTAATACCTCCCAACACTTAGAATCTGAAATCTAAGATGATCTCCTGCATCTTTAAATTATTGCTATCCCTCTTCTTTGAACAATGTTTTCAAGCAGTTCTTTCTTACTGCTTCCAACATGGCTAGAGAATACAACGAAGTCCTGATCAAAGTCACAGACATTAAAAGAAAAATTAACAGATACTTTCACTTTAGACCTTATCTGGATTTTTTCAAAGTTAAAAATGTAACTTAAAAAACCTATATATGCAAAGAAAACAATGAGGAGTTATCTTAAGAGCAAAAGGATACTGGATATAGCCAGAGACTGAGAAAGTGTGGGAAAGCAGAAATACCAGTTGTTGCCCACGCTACCTCCTCCCTGGTAAACAAAATAAAACTAATAGCTCTTAAAAGCAATGCATTGATTCAAGTGACTTCAGTCATAGGGTGCCCAATTTAAAACACATTGTGGGTCTGATTTTCCAGGGTAGAGAACTTACTGCTCCTTCTGTCTTCACTTGTTTTTCGGATGGCTTAGGGATTCCAAAACTAAAGCTAGACTGAGCCAGAATTGGGCAACCCAAAATTTAAAGTTTCCCATATTAATAAGTACTCTTGGGAAAATAATCCAAGGAAAGTTACTGGATTTTGCTTATTTAATCCAGCGCTGATGGGAAGTGAGAATAGAGGAAATTAAGACACAAAAAATCAAATTCTACTCCCATCTACAGCCCTGGTCTTCCCATTATTTCATGCCAGAAGGGAAAAGCAGATTTTGATTCAAAGTATTTCAAGTTGCATATCAGCCATCAGGCTTTATACCTAGCACAGGCTTAGTCATGCAATTGTCTGCTCAGAACTCCTCTGTTGGGCCCCTTGCCTGGCTTTGAGTGAGGGGCCAGACCAGATGACCTCCTGGGGTTCCTTCAGACCTAAATCACTCTGTACTTCAATTATTTTACTTTCCACTGCCAGTCTGAATACTCTGTGTGGATTAAGTTACCTATTGACTGAATGGAAACTAAGAATTCAAGCAAGCACAAACTTATCCTTTTTAACTGGGATATATCCTATTAGGCAACTCTAGCTACAAGAATGATCACTATAATCAGAGTTCTTTATGTAGTTTAGAAGAAAGGAATACTAGTACTTACTATTAGCAAATATCTGGTTATCACTGCTGGAATCATACTTGTTAATATTACTGACAGTAGTAGCGGTTCTCACATTTTACAACATCAGACAACACACCCAAAAACTCAGTACAAATTAAAAGACAAAGTGCACAGATGAAATATGTAAACCATTATCTCTTCAACCTTTTCTATGTGATTTCAATGGAATGTCTCCAAATTTACATCATTATAGCCTGAACGGACAAGCTGAGGGTTAAGTGGTACAATGTCTTTTAAAATGTACATTCAGTTCTTTGGAAGTGGGAAGACAAGAAGCTACTGCTGAAAGACTCATCCCAAAAGTCTGTGTAAGAAGGATTAATCCTTAGTCATTCAAGAAGAGGCCCCAGAAGTCTCACTGAGAGGTAGGCTACAGAAAGTGGATCACCAAAATCTGTCAGCTGAACTACAACATTCTCTCCTTCACTGTATTTACTAGCAAAAGGATCAAAACTTTACCCATCACATCTCCCTACATAATGCAGAAGTCAGTAATTTCAATCACTTTCAGTGCGTCTGATACAAACAAAATCAGAATCTGATCCTAAATGGTCTGTAGTCATTAAATTTTGCTCGTTAACTGCTACAGGACATTTCTCCTCTGCATATACTGAGCCCATAAAATGAGTATGTAAAGAAAGCTTATGTGAATGGATGTAAATGATGTTAATTAGGAGTATTGATGTGCTCATCACAAAGACAACTTGCTAGAAAAAGACACAAAAACTATGTTTGTGTTGTTAACTGATGGAAAAGCCAAGGGGAAAAGGCTTGAGTAAGCAGCAGAGACAACACTGAGTTGTCAGAAACCATGTGATGCTGTTTGAGTTCATGTCCTGTGAAGGATGGCGCTGTCTAATCATACTGTGTCAAGATGTACTAGAGGCTATGCAACTGTGCTCCCTTCCTGAACAGCTTGGCTGTTCATTGTTTTTGTTTAATTGAATAATCAATTTGACTTCACACTAACATGCTATTTCATTCTCTTATTCAGGGCAGGCTACTGCAACAACAAAAATCAATGTTAGAACTTCCACTGAAGTCAGTGTTAGCTATTATCTTCTAAAAGTCCACTAAATCACCCCAATGTGGAACATAATATCAGTGAGATACAGAAATGCTCAGTTTTGTAACCTCTCAATGTTTTCTGATGCAGAACCTTGTAGGTTTATTTAGTTTCCTGTTTCCTTCTACTCCTGGTTTTGCATACAGAGGCACAGCATATTTCAAAGAGCAGAAATGACAACTTTTATATTGCAATTCTAGAAAGCAAAAGTATTACCTCTGCTTTGAAATTTTGGTCCAGTTTGGTGCAAACCCAGTCCTCAGCAGCATCACATAGCAGTTTGCATTGAAATCATTGGACTTCTTGCCTTAAAACAGCTGGATTAAGTTCTTGTGCTTCCCTATGGAAGGTGGAGCGTACCTTCTCAACACCTCATATCTGCTAAAATGAGGAGAAGATGAGAGCACACACTTCAAAATATGAAAAGCCAAATCTGCAGTCTGTATCTTAATATGTAAACAATTGTCAATTCCAACTGTTTACAGTAACCATAGGTACTTCAAAGCAACAAATCTGGAATAAGAATTCCTTTAAGAACTGTGTTGTTAAAACTACCAGGTTTAAAAGCGTTAGATTCTGGAAAATGTCTTCATACAAAATGATTAGCAAGACCTAATGGAATATTTTAACTGTTAAATAGTGGAGAAGTGATTCACTGTTAATTGCCTTACTATTTCCAATACGATGATGTTCACTTTGAGCCTTAAATTTCTATTTTATAATTTTTTTTGATTAAAGTTGATATTTTTTATTTTTTTGATCCACAGTCATTCTCATTGGGAAGAAAAATGTTAATGTCAGTTTTAAAGTATATTTTAAGTGCATATGAAAGGAAAAAACAAACACCTGTCTGTTCAGTAATGTATTTCCCTTCGTCTCACCTAAATTTGAATAAATGCTTCAGAGTTGCATACAAGAGTGTGTCCTTCATGCGTTCAAGTAATTGTGAAAGTGTGCAACAAGACCAGAGGTTTCCTCAGGACTTTGCTGTGACAGCTGATTAATGGAATCAGACCTTATGTTATTTAGAAGAAAATCATAAAATACTGTCAAGTTATACACTAGACATGCTTATAAGTAGGTAGTTGTGAAATACAGTTGTTGCTTTTTTAAAGAATTCTCACTATCAATTTGCTCTGGTTTTAAATTATGCTTTCTTTTCCTCATAACCTCAGCCCCTTCACCAAAGTTTGAAAAAACAAGTTTTCTCAGGGGTACCACAGCAGAAGCCAAAGAGTCTTTAGGGTAATTTGCATGTTTTAAAGGTCGATAGATTTGCCAAATTCTCACCATCTTGGAGAATCAGCCTCCAAAGCCTATGCTTGAGCATATACTTCTACCTACAGATACATAGCTGAACTCCATCACTTCTCAAAAAATTCATGCAGAATCGGTCCACTACATTGGTGGCCTAGCTCATGCACTCCCCCTGAAATACCTGTTTGCTGGGTCATGACCAATGCTCCTAGAAGTTTCTCTGTGCGGTAGGGCACTGGAGACCTGTTACAGAGGACTTATTTTTTCAACCTTTAGCTGTTTATCCAGCACTTGTTCAAGTGACAATTGAATGAGGGCCAAACGCACAAACCACAGAATTTCATTCTCCCCATACAGTCTTCACCTTGAATGATTTCGCATATTCTAGGTATGAGGGTCCATTAGTAGATGTTGGAATGAATCTTAAATGAGCAGTGGATGCAAACCCAACACTTGAAGGAAGCTGGATCTTATAGCTCGGATACAGAAAACAACAGGGGAAAAAAAGGATGCGTCCCATTACATTTGCTGGTACTGATTTTGCTTTCCCAGGTAACCATGTTTCTCCATTACCTGGCTTGATTTCTACGTACTTCTGTGCCCGCTAGGTCAGAGATGATGTTCTTAAGACTATTTTACCTCAGCTACAGCTCCATGAGCTAAAGCAGTTCCTACACATTTTATGATTTCCTCTAAGCAACACAATGCCTTTATACTTCAAGTCCACTAAAAAGAACAATTTATAGCATAATACAAAGAA